AAGGTAACCACCATCAATTACATCTCTTAAATTTGAGAAATGAGTGTTGATTTCGATGGGGTTTTGATATGGAATTTGTTTTTTGTTGTAAGAAGGGTTTTGATTTTGAAAGAAATGTGACTGGTTTTGATTGTGATTTATGTAGCGGATATGAAATTTTGAAATTAGGGTTTGAAGAAAAATCAATTTGGGTTTATGGAAATGCTCCCTTGATTCTGGTTTTGTTTAACCTTCGCCGTTCCTGCGGATTTTGAACTGGTTTTTTATGGATCGTTTTTGATTGTGATGAATAACTGGATTTCGAGATCTGAGCATTTGATCCCTGTATTGGTTACTCATTGTTTATTTTTCCGCAATTTTGTTCTTGTTTGCTTCAGGGAAGAGTTCGCAAGTTTTGTTTGTAGTAGAAACCAAACTTCTTCTCTGGTGGGTCGCGAGAAAGTTTAGATTTTTAGGGTTTGAATATTAAAAAATTCTGTAACATTTTTTTGTTTGTTTATTCTTCGTCTTTTAACAGTTGAGAAAGTATGGATTAATCGTCTTTATCAAAATTATTTGTTTATTTATTGACACAAAAGGGATGACACAAGTGTCTTTGTTTCTCTTGTTTATTTAGTGAGAAAGTGTGTTTTGATTTGCTGCTTGTGGATTTTGCAGAAATGGCTCCTAAGACCAGGGGAGGAAAGAAAAAGACTTCAAAGGGATCCACTTCAAAGACTTCTAGTAGATATGCTGTGAGCGATTCAAGTAATGGGTCAGAATCTGGAAATGATCCGACGCCATCACAGGAGATGGGTCAGAATCAGAATCTAGAAATGGGCCAGAAGGTATGTAACTGTTTTTGGACAAGTGTAGTTCTGCGTAGGACTAATAGTACTACTAGGAAGAACTGTGAGTAGTTAGGATGACTGGTATTACTAAGGAGGACTGTGAGTACTTAGGATGACTGGTACTTCTAGCTTTTAGTACTTAGGATAACTGGTAGTACAGAATGGTTGGATTATGCTTGGATTTTGTTCGGATTGCAAGAGAAAGAGGATTCAGAACCTCAGCCGTCTGCACAGGAGAAAGAAGATTCAGAACCTCAACCGTTGGCACATGAGACAGATGATTCAGAACCC